TTCTGAAGCTGGAATAGCTGGGCTATGGGTGGTTACTTTAATGGAAGAAAAACATTTTATTACAGAAGCTGTGAACTGACCAAAGGTCCAATCAAACCAGTAGTCATAAAATTGAGTTTCCCCACTATCCTGTTATGCACGTAGAGAAAATTCCAGGGATCACAAAAGAAGTGGTAAAACATCGTTTTCCACTTCAAGAGCTTCCTAAAATAAATGATTATGTGACCTTTATTCATACAGAGTTAACTGAGCTTAGGAATTTTCCCACATTTGAAAAATATATACATTTTAGTCACCCAGATGAGGTTTGGGTGCTACCAAATCCAAGCTGTCAGTATCAGTCACCCTTTTTACGATCACAATTATGAAATGTATTATATGATGTGATTCAAGGACATAAAATGTAGCTATATTTGCGCATATACATGTGTAATCCTTATTGATCAGGCTAGATTAATTTGCTAAAGTCTCATGCTAACTTGGTGAAGAGAGCCTGCCAATAAAGGTGAAGTTGTAAAAGTGATGGCCTAGGCGTACAGCTAAGCGCTTGCCTAGATGTGCACAAGCCCTGGCTCAACTCCCCAGCAACACAAAAGGGCAAGAAAATGCAAAGTAAGTTGTTATATTCGAATGCCAGCTAAAGTCTTAATTATTCACTGCAGGTTCACTTCTCAGGACCGACACAGAAACCCGACTGGCAGTTGAAGTCATTAGCTGTATACTTATATACTTAACTGTATTTGAAATCTTCCAATTTTATTGACTTAGCATGGCTTTCCTGCTTTATCAACTATTTACTGTAGGTTTTCAGACAGATTTTTTTTTTTTTTTTTGGCGGAACCGGGGATTGAACTCAGGCCCTTGTGTTTACCAGACAAGCACTTATTCTACTGAGCATTCTTATTCTCCCCGGCCCTCTATTGTAGGTTTTTATACCCAAAGTTTGATTGATCATTAAGCAATGCCTTTACAATTATGAAAAAGCACAGATTAATAGGCAAAAATAACACTTGATTTAACATAAAAAACAAGGGTTCCGGACAGGGTTTCACCACGTACCTCAGGCTGCCCCCAAACTCCAGTGAGCATCGTACCTCAGCCCCTGGGTGCCACAAAGCCCGGCTAAAAAATAATATTCACTGTTTCCATGAATTAAAAAAGGTAAGAGCTTACAGTTTTTTTGATAGTGAAATATAATCTTGGGCATCAAACTTAACAGTGATTCCCTAGAAAATCTGCGAGATTAGAAAAGTAGGTGTAACTACTTCTACTGTTTTTGTAACAACTTCACTAAATTCTAACTTTCATTACTAAATATGAAATTATAAGGAATTCTTTCAAAGACCCAGTGCGTAAGTCTACTTATAGCAAAACAAAGATTTAAAAAGCTAAGCTTAGTCAAATTCCCCTTGATAGTCAATCTAAATAACCACCCATTTATTTTAAAAACTTCTTGGGGCTGGTAAGATGGCTCAGTGGTCTAAAGCACCTACTTAGAACAAGCTTAGCAAAGCACAGGGACCACGGTTCGATCCCCCAGCACCACATGCCAGCCAGCCCCGCCCCCTGGTGGGCTGAGCTGGCCACACACACACACACACACACACACACACACACAAATAAATAAATAATTAAAAAAAAAAACTTCTCTATATTTATCTAAAATAAATACATGCCAGAAATAATTGATCTCATTGCTAGTATTTACCTGGCTATTTCAATAACAAATGCGATAATATTTTTTCTAATATAACTTTCTGTAACCAATACATTGAAGTAATATCATAAATAGATTCTCCAGGGACTTTTCCAACATAAGTATCAATAAATCAAAATGTAAAGTGCTATAGTTTTTTTTTATTTTTGTTTTTATTTATTTATTTATTTTTTGGTGGAAGCAAGGATTGAACTCAGACCCTTGCACTTGCCAGGGAAGCACTTATTCTACTGAGCCATCTCCCCGGCCCCTTCAAAATGTAAAGTAATTAATATAAATAAGACCAATTTTCTGTCAGTTCCTCATATCTTTTCCCAAGCTGGAAGAGTATGAAGTGTATTTCTTGCACTCAGACCCTGAACTACCAAATGCTTCAGAATTCAAAGTAATATTAAGTAAAAAAGAAAAAGATGCTACTTCATAAAAAGTTGTAGGGTCGCCAGTCACTAGGTCACCCTCCCTGACATCTGCGAGCCCAAAGCAGCAGGCAGAACTACCACCGCAGAGATGTCTACCACTTGTACGAGCCCACTGCACGCTACTGCCTGCTGTGCTGCACAGCCTGAAGGGCAAGCTGCAGAATCTCCCTAATGGCTCGGAGAATATTATAAAAGGTCACTTGGATGGCCGTGAAGCGACAACGAGCCTTCCTACAGTCTGTACCATCAGTGCATTCGGGGAAGACCTGGGATCTGTAACATAACTCAGCAGCTAAGCCTCACTTCTGTGGCAGGGCCTGCCATGACTAAGCCAGGTAGGCCCTGGTTTATCAGATTCTTATTTTCTGTACATTCATCTCCACCTCTCTACTGCCCACAGTTTCAAGTGTTCTTTAGTTTAATATATATTCATTATTTATTTTTTTTTTAAATCACTGATCAAAGCAAGTTGGAATGATTCAGCAACTAAATCTTAAAGCCAAGAGCAAGGAATGTAGCTGATTCTTTTCTAATGCAACCAAAATCTCACTCAAGGAAACCTACTGGGATGGCCACAGGAAAGGAGGAACTATTCTGTATCAAGGAATTCAAAAAAGCATATGCTAAGAAATCGGCCAGATGACAAATACTTCAAAATGATCATGTACACCAGGGTTTCAAGTCAGTAATTTTTTACTGTTATTTTTCAGGAGAGGAGAAACATCCTAGTTCATTTAATTTTCACAGGCTCATAATCTAGAGATACATTTCTAGACAATAATACCCTTACGTCTTTACCCTTTAAAGGTCTTTACTATTTCCTACAAATAATAGGTAGCAAAACTTTGCCCTGGTCTTCATTTTCTTTTACTAATGTTTACTCAGAGCTTGAATAAAACATTATAATATCACAAAATTAATCACTGTAATAGGAGCACTATTTACTGTTTTATAGCCATACTCTGCAACTTCCTACAAAGCTCTTTTCACCCTCTTTGTTTAAAATTTCAGGGTTAAGGAAGGGTAGGAAAATGCATTCCGGCAGGGACACCAATTAAAAGTACTAGCAAAATTAAGTAATTAATCTGCTTTCAATATTTGGTAATATAAGATTCTAACTACAGTTAATTTAAAGAACAAGAGCTAAACCACAAAATACAACAGTTCAGACCCTGAAACATGTGGCCTATTTACCCTGAAAATACATTATCTAAAAATAAGCATAAAATACAAAAATCACATTTAATATTCAACCCCCAAATCCCAAATTTGCCAAACTGTCTCATTATCTTTTCATTCCAAAATCTATGTCATGTTTCATAAAAAAAAAAAAAAAAATAGTCTTCATCCTCTGGTAGTCTAAAAATAGATTCCTACTGTCTTTTTACGAGAAACAATCACATTTGCTTATGAGGACTACCATACAAGCCACATCATCAATACCTAAGATTCCTATTTAACCTCATTTTGGCAAGCAAAATGGTAACTCAGTATACACACACACAGAATTCTTACCTATATGCTGCATTTTCTCTCAAATGCAAAATGGTTAGATGCCCCTTCTACTTAACCAGTACAGGGTCTGGACACTGTTCAGTCTGCCTCGCAAATATTTGCTTCCCCTCTTAGGACATAGCATCCGCAGGGCTCTACAGCACTACTGACATTCTCTTCCACATAAAAATCAGACATTACATGAAAGGAAAAGAAAGACAGCCCATTTCAAAGCATCTGGCAAACCTCCGCTGGCAACCTGCCAAGCCTCTGCTAAACCTTCCTGTCTTTCCGAGCATGCTCACTTAAAACCAACAGCATGTTACTATGGCAACTCTGTAGGCAGCCTGTAAGTATGAACCGCCATTCTGATTTCAGAGTGTAAAACACCAAATACTGCAGGGGAAGTAAAAGGAAAGAAATAGCAAGTACCCTTCGCCACATACAAGTACACTTGTGTTTTTTCATAAATTCACACTTGCGTATGTAAAAGAGAAACAAGTAGAGGAATTTTTTTCCACATAAATATTTTTCATGCTCAAATAGGTTCGCTTTCTCAGTACATTTTCTTTGTTTTGCCCCAAACCTCTAACCCCCTAAAAATCAAAAATTTACCGGAAACATTTAAGCGCTGCTGAATAAACAGACTATATTCAGGTAAGCAATGATGTGTATTTCCCAGGTTATTCCTTATGATTGTATTTTAAATGACATGACAGTTTTACAAACACAACCACCTGCACTTATAAAATACAATCTAAATCTTTGCTACATTTATCAAATGAAATTTGCATCGAGTTTAGACAGGCATTTTGTAACCCTCCAAAAAGGTTTTGAAGTTAAGAGAAACCTGCATCCCCATTTGCTGTCCCCCTTTCACTTGTGGTGCCGCGGGAAAGTTGTTTAACCTTTCTGAATCTCACCGACTCTGTCTTTATACGGTAGGGTACCAATGACTTCACATGGTAATGGTTAGCACACTCAGAAAAAAAACCAGAGGTTGCATTTCTTTCTGCTTTGCTTACATGGAAAAGACCCTCAAAATACTGATCTATGTTTGCTGACTGATGAAAAGCACTGCTCTGTAATTTTGTCTTCCCTTTTGTGGGAAGGAGTTGAACCAGGACCTTGCACGCACATTCAAGGCCAGAGCCCACCGTGATCTCCGCCCCCAGTGCCGCCTTTGCCTTCTTCCTTACTACATAGTAGTCCTGACACCCTCAGCGAAGAGACAAAACACTGTGCCCTCAACCTCCAAGTCGGAAACGGAGAAACCAACTGAGACTCCCAACAGAGGGTAAATATATGAATTATTATTTGTACGAGAGCATTAAAATGTCTGATGGTTACAAACATAAAATTACACCTACCACCTCATCCTCATCCTTCTTGGCTTCCTTCTCTTTCTCTTCATCGTTTTCCTCAGCTGGGCCACCCTCCTCATCGCTACTGGATGACTCCAGGATTTCACTTAGATCCATTTTCCAATTGTCAGGAACAACTCTGGCTTTTAAGAAGATACTTGCTTTCTGCAGCCCTAGGAGTGAAAATGTACTTCAGGAGTTGCTACAGAATATACAGCACAGAGCTACAGAAAATGTATGATCCTCAAATAGTCAGAAGATCTGAATTCAAATCCAACTGCCGCTTATAAAACGGCACAGTATGAACGTCTTTCGTAAGTTACAATATTGAATAAATGTTAGGAAATACTATTGGAGAAATTGTAATGAAACACAAAAAGTTCAAACTATAATTTGAATATTTTATCTAATAAAAACTGTCACCGGGGCCAGGAAGATGGCTCAGTAGAATAAGCACCTGCCTGGCAAGCCCAAGGGCCTGAGTTCAATCCCCGGTTCCGCAAAAGAAAAACCTGTCACCAAATGGAAGTGGATCGCACCCCTGTTCTGAGCTAAAAAGGCATCAGAGAACAAATACTAGGTCTTGCTTTATTCACTGCGGTCCCATAAGAGCTTCCTTATGACATAATGGATTACTGTGTCTTTGCTTTACCTGGCTTGGTGGAGAGCTCAGATTCTGGCAAACTGAGAACGTCCATTTCCTTAATGTCCTTCCTTGCTATGGCATAACTAATAAAGAGAAGAGAAGGGGAGGAAGGCACGAATTAAACAAAAAGCAGCACTGACGCAGTCCATGTTAACACAGAAAACAGAACAACCCCAAATCTTCAAAATTCTTTTGCCTGTAACCTGTTTTAAAAGTCTGAAACACAGACCCCTACAATCCTAGCACTCAGAGGCTGAGGCAGGAGGACTGCTGTGGGTTTGAGGCCACCCTGGACTACAAAGTGAGTTCAAAGCCAGCCTGAACGACATAGGGGACCCTGTCTCAAAAAAAAAAAAAAAAAAAAAAAAAAGTCTAAGACCATGACTACCCAATTTCTTAATAAAGGGTTGGAGGAAAGGGCCAGAGAGAGCTCAGTGGACTAAGCGCCTGCTCGGGCAAGCACTCTAAATGTTTTTCTCTGTCAGGTTTATGGTGCAATAACAGCATACATGATGGATGGCGATTTGATTTTTTTTTTCTTTTTTTTGTGGAACCGGGGATTGAACTCAGGCCCTTGCATTTGCCAGGCAAGTGCTTATTCTATTGAGCTATCTCCCCGGCCCTAATTGATTGATTGACTGACTGATTGATTTTTATGTATTTGGTACAGGGTCTTACTACACAGCTCGGACTCGTAGTGATTCTCCTGTTTTCAGCCTCCCAGTGCTGGGATTATAGGTGTATGCCACCATGCCTGGTCTTGGTGGCCTGCTCAGTGTGCCCAGGGCAGGGCTGGTGAGGCATGTGGTGCCAGGGATGGAACCCCAGTCCCTGTGCTTGTGTAAGCAGGAGCTTAGCCTGCTAAGCTATCTCACTGGCCCCCAAATACACTAAAAAAAAAAGAGGAAACAGAGAAAGACAGTATCTTAATCATAAAATTTTACATATTCAAAGGACATTATATCTTGAAACCTTCAAATCTGGAACATTTCATTCTATACAACCCCCTCCCCCCGCAGATTAGTATAGGATAACTTCTATCAGCATGATGTTTTCAACACAGGTAGACAACAATGCTATTTTTTCCTTTGACACACACTCTCACTATAATCTCAAATTCACTATGTAGCCAAGGCTGGCCTTGAGTTCATGGTAATCCTGCTGCCTTATTTTAATGTCTAATATTTCTTAACTATTGCTAATTTTAGTTTAAAACACCATTTATAATATTAACATCTTTTTATAAGGTATAATATGGTATTAATTCTTTTTTTTTTAATTTCTAAAAAAATTTTGTTTATTTATTTATTTAGTGTGTGTGTGTAGCCAGCTCAGCCCACCAGGGGGCGGGGCTGGCTGGCATGTGGTGCTGGGGGATTGAACCGCAGTCCCTGTGCTTTGCTTAGTTTAGCTTGTTCTAAGTAGGTGCTTTAGACCACTGAGCCATCTCACCAGCCC